GAGGAAACAAAACTACTTGTTTCATTTGATTCGTTTTTGTTCTCTGAGTACTTCTTTTTTAACCTTTGCTACTGGGAAAGACCCTTCAAAGTAAAGCCAAAAATGGAATTATTCCTCAGGAATCTGAGGCGTGGGTGGAACTGGAGCAGTAGGGAGCCATGTTCCCCAACGGAGGCAACTCCAGAGCAATGAACTGGAGGCAAGGCATGAGGACAAGCAGAGAACAGAGACTGGCAAAGTTGCCAGCCCTGGGCCTCAGCCTGGTATTGCCTGGCTAGCTCCATTGCCAAAAGCAGGACAATTGTTAAGCATTCCCGTCATGGACTATTTGATGTCACCATCTCCTAAAGCCTCTTTCTGATTTTCTCTTGTGAGAACTCAGAGTGAAAATTCCAAATAACTGGTTTCCCATACCCTGAATGTCAGGGGAAGATAAAGGAGAAAAAAAGTTTGATTGTCTGGGATCCACTTAGGCTTGCCTCTTCAAATCAAGAAGTGGAGCAAGTGTAGATGGTCTCCTAGCCTTCTCACTAATTGCTATGCCATCCCAGCAGCTGCCCATCTAGTCCGGCTACTATGTCGCTCATGTCTCTGGTCTGAGCTTCCTCAGTCACCAATCCTAGTCACAGAAGACAGCATATAGAGCACAATACCAGTAACAGCTATGCCCAGCAGTGGCCACATGGCCCCCATCATTATCTTGGCTCCCAGCCCAAACTGAGTGGCCAGACTGGAAGAGGAAGAGTTTGAATCTCAAGGGTAGAGGGTTGAGGAGGGAGGAAACATCCAGGCAGTTCACCCATATAGCAATTTTTCATAGTTCTGTCCTCTTATATATTGTATTTTCTGTGCATCCACCCTCAAATCTCCCCATCTCCATCTTCTAAAGTGATTTGCACTAGAGTGAGAGAAAATAATGGTTACAATCCAAGACAAGACTCCCAATAAGAGCACTGAGGGGTGATCCACAGCATTCATGTTACCATTCACTCTCTTCAAGTCATCATCATTTTTTTCTGGGCTGGGCTCAAGGTGGAAGTATAAATAATAATTCAAATAGATAAGAGGATAATGCATGGTCCTTGTATTTTTCTGAATATTAAAACTCAAGAACAAACACTGAAGCTGAAGGTTAAATATTTTGGCCACATAATAAGAAGACAGAACTCTGGAAAAGACCCCGATGTTGGGAAAGATTGAAGGCAAAAGGGGAAGGAGATGACAGACGATGGGATGGCTGGATAGTGTCATGGAAGCAAAGAACATGAGTTTAGACAGAGTTTGGGAGACACTGGAGGATAGAAGGGGCTGGCACGCTATGGTCCATGGGTTCATGAAGAGTCAGATGCAACTGAACAAATGAACAACAACAGGAAAAGCTGTCCCATGGAGGGGTTAGTCCCGTGGGCTTAGTAAACTGAAGATAAACTTTTTCAGACTAGCCAAGGCAACGAAAACAGACCTAATAAATTTTAAAAGTCAGCCACGAGGTGAATTAGACACCTTTCCCTCTTCCTATTTTTCTTCCTTCGCTCTCGTAAAGAAATAAAATGCTCAATGGTACGAAAACATAGAACTGGGAGTGGAGGTAACAAATAACATCTTGCTTTCCTACCAGTCTTTGTCCTATTAAAAAAATGTTAAAAAAAAAAGCATCCTAGTTGCATCAAGGTTGGGACCTTTCCCATTTACAAAAAGGGGAGGGAGGAAAGCTGAGGTAACTTTGTCATTGCCACACTCATATACCAATTTTGCAATCTTGTCTGTCAGAATGTAGAGTCTCACCTCCAGATACAGACTTGAGGACTTCCAGTATTCTCTGTCTCTGGACGCCTTGAGGCTATGGTCAGTTGTAAACAATATTCTTCAGTAAATCTCATTTGAAGAAGTAAATTTTGTGTATGGGTCCTCTTTTCTTGCCTAGTGCAAATGCTGATTTACTACAAAGCTTCCTCACCTTCCCAAAACAATTATCAATTTATTTTTTCTTTTTAAAAAAATCATTATTTTTAAGATTAGTTTTTTTACATGTGTTCTGAATTCTCTTCTTCCCTCTCTCTATCCCTCCCCCACCCATTGTGAAGGCAAGAAATGTAATATCAATTATACATGTAAAATCATGCAAAACATATTGCCATATAAGCAATATTTTTTTGTTTAAGAAAAAAAAACAAGAAAAATAAAGAGTGAAAAAATTGTGGTATTGCTGAGATAAAGGGTATGCACAGTTTTATAGCCCTTTGGCCATAGTTCCAAAATACTCTCCAGAATAGTTGGATCAGTTCACAACTCCACCAACAGTGCATTACTGTCCCAATTTTCCCACATTCCCTCCAGCATTTGTCATTTTCCTTTCCTATCATATTAGCCAATCTAATAGATGTGAAGTTGTATCAATAATCACTGATTTAGTTAAGCATTTACTGTTAAATGATAAGGAGTGAGATGGGGAGAAGAAATTTATTGACTCTTCTTTTTTATTTACACCTATGGATCCCAAATAGCATTGATTTACCTGGGAAGAGCTCTGCCCTTGAATCAAACTCTTCACTAGAATGAGACATAGGAGCTATCACAACTGAAGATCACCTCTCTCAGGCTATACCTAGCTGACAAAAGCAAAGCAGAAATTTGAATCAAATATACGTATAATTCAAGAACATTTTCCAGAGGTCATACTTTTGGCTTTAGTTATTTACATATTTCAATTGAAATATATTTTATTGGGGGAGGAGAATGAGATGGAGCTAAATCATCTAAGTTATTAACTTGGTTATCTATTTCCCTTTGCATACAAAAGTGTTGTAGGTTTGGACTGGGCCAATGGGATGCACAGCAGCTGGTGTAGCACGTATATGTTTAGATGGATGTGATGTGAGAATGGCTCACCACACTTCTCCAAGGGAAAATGAGACTTCCACCTTCATGGAGATGATGAGGACAAATGAAACTGGGTGTTCACTCTTCAGTCTTGAAGAGGAGTATTGGGCTAGAATTCCATCTATCTATGCACCTCTGGTGTGAGGGCTTGCTGAGCCCCTTTCAGGGCTGCTCATCTACACTTGGTATCTACCTGATTCAATCAACTCTCACCTGTGGCTCCAATAAGCTGCAGTATGCACAGTGGCCATGCCTGGATAAAATCTTCTTGGCAGATGGGCTAAACCAGGTTGAAGGTAACCGGCAGGCCTCAAACCCATAGGTTAGTTAGGGGAGTGACTACCTCAAGCATGTAAAGACTTCTCCTGATGGAGTGGGTGGATGAGAATAATTCATTCCAAAGGCCATGAAGGCAGCTGAAGTAGGCACTGTGGAGTGCTTAGTGCTGGTCAGATATCAATGCCAAAGTCATCCACTGCTTCCCAGGCTGTTGCCAGTTGTCTTGATCTTTGTCTTGCCACTGGATTTCAATGACTCTGGAAGAGAAAGAGAGTGAGGCTGATGACTTTGTGCAACTCTGCCTCACTTAAATCCAAATCATGAGCAAGTCAAGACATCAGTGATGATGTCCTCTTAGAAAACAAAGGATGCACAACAACCTTGCTCAGGAGATGGCATTTCTCTAGATTCTGCAGAATCTTTCCCAAGTGATTTCTATCCCACACGTATTTTTTTTCCAGATTAACTACATTCTGAGGTCACATCTGGAGTTCAATCTTGTGTCAAAGTTCTTAGCAAGAAGAGCCAGTATGGCTTAATGAAAAGAAAACAGAAAGGGAGGGAGGGAGGGAGGAAAGAAGAGAGAGAAAGGAAGATGAAGAAGGGGAGGAGAAGAAAAGAAAAACAGAAAGAGAGAAGGAAGGAAGGAAAAGAAAGAAGGAAGTGAGGGAGGGAAAAGGAAAAAGAGAAGGAAAGAGAGAAAGAAGGAAGGAAGGGAAGGGAAAGGAAGGAAGAAAAAAGAAAAGAAGAAAGGAAGGAAAGAAGGAAGGAAAAGCTTTTATTTATTAAGGGCTTACCAAATACTGTGCTAATTGCTGTGAAAATAAATAGAGAGGGAGAGATAGAAAAGAAGGCAGACCAGGGGAAGGGGTATTCAGAATGCATGCCACCTTGGGGTGGGGGGAGGGGGGAGAAATTTGGAACTCCAAAACTTGTGGAAGTGAAAAAAAAATTAAAACAAAAACAAAGGAAAAAAAAAGAATAAAATATTTAAACAAAAAAAAAGAAAAAGAAAATAAAGAAAATAAATAGAAAAGGTGAGATAGTCCTCACTTTTTGATTGTGGGAACAACACAGGGTGGATGAAAAAGATTGAAGGTCCTAAGGGTGCAATGGATGGATGGATGGCAAGGCCCAGGGGGCAGAAGATATATTGAAGGCTATTTTTTGTAGCCAGAGACTAGAGCTCTGAACTTGGCATCAGGAAGATCCATATTCAAATTCTGCATGAAATACTTACTAGGTGTGTAACTCTGGGTAAGTCATTTAACCTCTCTCAGCCTCAGTTTTCCCACCATAAAATAGGGATTATAATAGCATATTATTTTCACGTGAGATCAGAGTACTGACTTCACAGGAGTATCATAAGGCTCAAATGCAATAATGTATATACATAAAACACTTTGCAAACCTTAAAAAGCTATATAAATATTAGCCATTGTTACGACTTAACCTCTCCTGGCCTCAATGTCTTCATCTACAAAATGAGGCAATTGTACTCTGTGGCCTCTCAGGTCATGTCTAGCTCTAAATAGACAACCTTGTGATTTTTCATAATACTTAGGGAGTCTATCAGTCTGAGGACTTTCAGAAATGGCTTTAATCACACCTCAAATGGGTTCTGGCCACAGACTTTGGCTCAGAATGTTGCCTATTAGTGAAGATTAGAATATGTTTTAAATAAATAGGTTTTTGTTGGCTGAATAAGATCGCAGTGATGGAATGTTAAAGACAAGGGCCAAACACATCTTGCCAATTATATATAGTTTCTAAGCCCATCTGTCCTTGGATGCCAAAGTCCACCTTGCTTTGCTTGGAGGGGATTTTGTACCCACATTTTCAGAGCAGACAGTAAATCAGTCTTTTTGCAAGACTTCCAGGAACTGAGCTTTTGTTTGCGGGGCTGCTGCTTCCAATGATGGGGGCTGCACTCCTCCTCATCTTAGTAGATGGTCCTTGGATGCTGCAAAAGCCAAAAAAAATTCATCATGGGGTAATGAAAATTGGATCATAGGATAATAAATGTAGAGATGGAAGGGACCCGAGAGGCCATCAAATCCAACCCCCTCATTTTACAGATGAGGAAACTGAGGCCCAGGTTGGTAAAACCATCCAAATTGTACTCAGCCTCTTCAAACTTAGCTATAGGCAGGTTTGTGGGAAGGGGAGAGTATGATCCCCTGGAGTTTATTGAATAAAAAGGGTGACATGGTCAGATCTGCACTCTAGGAAGGTCAATTTGACATCTGAGGGGTGGACTGGAGCTCAGAGAGACTTGAGGCAAGAAAAGGAGGACAACCAGCTAGCTATTTCAGCAGTCCAGGGGTGAGGTGATGAGGGCCTGCAGGGGTGGCAGCGTCAGAGGAAAGAAGGGGCTTATAGGAGAGATGTTATGAGGGGAGAAATGACAGGATCAGGTAACAGATTGGGTTTGGGGAGGGGGGGTGAGAGAGAGTGAGGAGTTGATGGAGACACCTTAGTTTGTGAGCTGGGTAACTGGGAACTCACAAGATATCATATGTGAAACTGATTATACATACATTATCTAGTTCAATGCTCACAATAACCCTGTGAGGGAGGTAGTGCGAATAATATCCTTATTTTATAAATGAGAAACAAATTCAGGGTTATTCAGTGACTCTAGTACATCTCGAAAGTAGGAAGTCTTCGCTGGTTAATCTTGATCCACTTTGGACATCCTTTTAAGAAGTCACCAATGTCAAGTTGATAAGCATTTATTAATCACCTACTATGTGACAGGCATTGTGCTCTAACACCCTCCCATTTTACAAATGAAGAAACTGAGGCCTAGAGAGGTTAAGTGATTTGTACAAGGTTGCATAGTGAGCATCAGAGAAAGGATATGAACCCAGGTCTCCTGCGTCCAGAGCCAATGGACCAGCCCTCTGTCTAGGCTGTTTCTCTTTTGGATAAACATCAATAAATTGTATATTGGGAAGTTCTGGGGGGAGGGGAAGGGGCAGGGAGGGGGAGAGAAAAGGAAGAAGAGAGAGAGCGAGAGGCAGACAGACAGACAGAGAGAAAGAACCAAAGAGACAGAGAGAGAACCAAAGAGAGAGAGCTGTCTCTTCGATAGAAATAGACTAGCATACCACCCAGTCTTAGCTCACATTGCTTCACGATAGGTAACTTCTTCCTTTGGTGTTGTTCCCCTCACTGCCCTCCAAATACACGACATTCATTCCCACACAGGAGCCTTGGTTCATGCTTTTCCCACTGCCTGGAACGCCCTTCCTCCCACTCAGGACCTTGCTCGTGTCCTTCACTCTCCTCAAGGCCTTCCCTGGACACTCTATCAGCCCCTGATCTCTTCTCCTACAAACTCCTACAGCAGTCCTTGTCCTCACCATCCGTTTGTCCCTAAAAAGTTTGTATTCTTACTTAACTATTCCTTATGTGTCTATCTTGTTCCCCCAACTGCACTAGTCCCCTCCAGGGACTCCTGGAGTTTAAGAACTGTAGCTTACCTTCTTTTGCTATTGACTTCAGCGAATCTGTCACTAGGAATTGTTGTACCCAGAGCAAGTTAGCCCAGCCTAACATTAGGTAGCTTCCTAATGAGTTGTTTTTTGTTAACTAAGTGATAAATTCGGTAGGTTCTATGCCGTTGCTGCAAGTGTTGTTAGGAGTATTTAAGCTAAGGTCCTCTCCATTAAGAACCCTAGGGGCAAAGCCCCGGTTGGCAGGTCCCAGTGCCCTGGTTAAAGCTATGGCCCTCAGAGCCTAGCATAGTAGTAGAGCAAGAAGAGATGTTCACTTACTGCTTTTCCTAACACTTAGTGTCAGAAAGAATAAACTGATGAAACTATTCATAGAAATCCTTCCCACTTAATATTACAGTAATGTTATGGTAGGGGCCAGGTAATCCTTCCAGGGCAAGCCGCTACCATCTGGACTGTTCTACCACCACAGTTACCCCAATGATAAACATTTAGGAAATGTCTAGACAGGGAGAGCAGCCAGACCGTGAAAGGTAGAGGGTATAGTGGGATGGTTTTTGTTTGTTTGCTTTTTTAAAGTGTCTGTGATAAGAAAAAGAGAGAGGGTTTATCTTAGATTATTTGTTTCAGGAAATCACTAGTGAAGATTATTTCATTATCCGGCTTTCCATGGAGAAGTCAGACACAGACAACAATGTCACTTGTCTAAATGCTCTTAGAAGGAACCTCTACAATTATTCCCTGATTCACCGTATGATTCAAGTACTGTGGGTCTGAGCACTTAGCTCAGATTTTTTTTTAAATTCCATTAAAGTAAGTAACAAAGCCACCAAAAAAATTGGGGAGCTAAAGCACAAAGAAAGAAGAACTTCAGGGTGAATGAAGAAGTCTGGTTGGGTTAGGAGCCATTATTATTAAACTGTGCAGCTCTCCTGGGGTTTCCTTGAATTCGGTTTTCAGAGCTCTTCCCTGGGAAAATAAAGCATTTATATTTTTTTTTTGTAAAACGCACGCTCGGGAATATTGAGGGATCGTGGATCAAAGACTTGATTTGGGACCTTAGGCATACAAGAGTAATGCCAACTGTTCTTCACCATAAATTCCTGGGTGAATTTAGAGCTTAGTACAAAACACATCTCATAAGCACCCCCGAAACAAAACAATCCAGAAATAAATGCAAAAATTGAGTACAGGACAGTCGTGGGGACATACGGAAGTCACATTCAGAAGTGGTGATGGTAAGGGGTGGGGGCTGATGGATCAGAAAAGATAGGATTCATTCATTCAACAAACATTCATTGACTACCTACTAATTTCAAAATACTCTGCCAAGTGTTGTGAGGGATGCAAAGCTGAATAAGATATATCCTTTTCCTCAAAGAGCTTACAGTCTTGTAGAAGAGGAAAAAAATAGGCTAATATAAATCATTTTAATTTTGAAGGGAACCAGACCTGTGATTTCATTAGTATGAAGAATTCTTGATTAGGGAATACCAATGCAAATTGGCACTACCCTGAAACCTCAAGTCTTGTAGCCTAAATAATCCTGAACAATTTAAAACAAATTCTGGAATGAGATTCATAATGTCAGGGCTCTTCAATGGTAAATTATCTTCTTAGATCATTTGTTCCCACTCAGAAAACTGGGAACTATTGAAATTAACTTGAGTTTGGTTTTCATGCTAACAGAACCAGGCGATTAAGAGCATTGAAACAGTAAAATATTTAATTAATACAGAAGTAAGTAGTAAAGCAAGAGAAAACACCCTTATCTTGCATTCCCAGCTAAGGACATCTCATTCATCTTCCTCTACAGCACAGTTTGGGACCTCAATTTCTCCAGAGACTCTCCACTCTGTTAGGGAAGAAATGGGCAAAGTGAGGCAGGCAATGGGTACTATTTAAATACCTACCATGTGCCAGACCCTGTGCTAAGTCCTGGGGATACAAAGAAAGGTTAAAAAAAAAAAAAAGGAAGCAGCATTATGGGGTGGTTCTGTGGATAGAACTTTGGCCTGGAGTCAGAAAGACCTGTGTTCAAATCTGGCCTCAGATACTTATTAGTTGTGTGACCCTGGGCAAGTCACTTAACCTCTGTTTGTTCCTGCTTCTTCACCTGTAAAATGAAGATAATAATAGCACCTACCTCCTTGGGTTATGAAGCTCAAATAAGATAATAATTGTAAAGCACTTAGTAGGGTGCTTGGCAGATTTTTTTTATGTTGTTGTTGAGTAGTTTTCACTGTTTCTGACTTTCCATGACCCTGTTTGGAGTTTTCTTGGCAAAGATACTGGAATAATTTGCCATTTCCTTCTCATTCATTTTACAGTTCATTTTACAGATAAGGAACTGAAGCAAACAGGGTTAAGTGATTTGCCTAGGGTCACACAGCTAGTAAGTGTCTGAGGCCAGATTTGAACTCAGGAAGATAAGTCTTCTTGGTTCCAAGCCCAGTGCTTTATCGACTGTGCCACCTAGGTCCCTCAGTAAGTATATAGTAAGGCACATAATAAGTGCTATATAAATGTTATCTGTTATTTTGAGCACCACATTTTAGAAAGGACCTTGATAAGGTAAAGACTAGACAGAGGAGGGTAACCAGGATGGTGAAAGGCTTGTGATATCATGCAATATGAGGGTTGACTGAAGAAGCTGGACATTTTTAGCCTAGACTTAGGGGGATATGATAATTGTATTCAAATATTTCAAGGGCTGTCATGTAGGAAAGGCATAGGATTTGTTCTACCTGGCCCCAAAGGGAAAAACTGGGAGTTGTGGGTAGAAATTACAGAGGAGCAAATTTGGGCTTGATATAACCCAAGTGCCTCAGGGACACGGAGAAATGCAAGACAGGAGTAGAAGTTCCACAAGACAAAACAGAACTTCTGGCATAGTAGTACCTCAAATGTGCACTGTGCCATCGTTGGGGTGGGGGAAACATTGATTTGAAGCAGAATGCTGCAGCCATGGCAAATCACAGTGGACTATGGCAGTAACAGTTCCACTGGCAAGAGTTCAGGTCTGCAGAAGTAACAGGTGGCAGGGATGTAAAGCCAAGGAGAGAGAGGGAAACCTTTGCTTTCTGGTGGGAGAAGGAAGGTGTGGTCTGGGAAGAATAATCTCACCCTGGAGCAAACTCAAGAAATTCAAAGGGTGGGTAGAGGCTCCTCCCTAAACTTCTAAACCTTGCTTTAAAGGGCCACCTGCTGGTTACACTAGGGAAAAATTCTTAACAATTAGAACTGTCCAAAAGTGGGATGGATTGCCTGGGGAGGTCTTCAAGGCCCGGTGGCCCTTTGTCAGAATGTTGTAGAGGAGATCCTTGTTTGGGTCCAGGTTGGACAAGATGGCTGCTGAGGTGCCTTCCAATACAGAGATTCCATGATTCTGTGATTCTGTTCTTTTGTAATTTATTTTCTCCCCTTCAAGGTTGCCAAAATGACAGAATTGGACCAGATGACCCCCAAGGTCCCTTCCAGCTCTAAATCTATAATTCTATGA